TAAAATATATTTATAACACGTTTTTGTAAAAGCTGTTGAAAGTTTATCTTTTTTGTAAAGCAAAATTACGAAACATCCATATATTTTAATATATTTACTTATTTACAAATTTGCCAGAATTTGTAATAAAATTAATTGATAAAGTTCTGGTCAAAAAAAGCATGTTGTTTTCCTTCCATTCTTTTTGCTTCCAGACAAATATCATTTTATATCGGCCATCACAATCCTTAAGTAAAATATAGCTTCAAGTTAAAGTGCTTGTATTTTCATAAAATACAATTTGTTTATATTTAAATATATTTTTTAGTCTTTCGCCACCTATAGCACCTTTCAAAATACACTAATATTTTTGTTAACTTGGTATATATTTAAAACTGTCCTCATTTTCAAATAAAGACAAAAACACACTCTTTGAAAATGCGTCAATTGTTATATATTTTTTTCCAATTGAGTGCCTGTGAATTATTACTGTATCTCGATAAAATGATAAAGTTTTATCAGAAGGTTAGTATGGTATAAAATAAGTTTATTAGTTTTGTATTTATTTTGTTTATAACTCTGGAGTTTCTTTTTCATATCATAAACTTTAGAACAGAGTAGGCAAGGAAAAGTACATCAACAGTCATTTTAAATAAAAGAAAAAGCTGAAAAATTGGCATCATGTATTTAACTGATTAGAAATCGGATTATATTTTTATTGGTTGTGATCAGACTCATCAGAGTTAATCAAAGGTGATATAATTAAGAGTTTATGATAAAATTGAAGATGAGCCAAATTAGCCCTATATATATAACAATATATGGGGACAAGCACAGCAAAACAAGGGGATAGCCTCAAAAAAAAATTTCTTAAGTTTATATGATAATTATGCTCCAATTTATCCAAAAATTACAGTTGTAATGAAATCTCAAAAAAAAATTTTTAGATCCTATCCCCTTGTTTTGCTGTGTGTGTCCCCATATATTACTTCTTCCTTTTATAAATATTTCCTTTGTGTTTTTATTGTTTTTTTTTACTATAACATTGCTTTCATCACTTTTGAAAATTAAAATAAAAATCAAAGAATTTTGTAAAAATTTTAAATCAGCTTTTTTAAGTTGAGAAGTTCCTAATAATAAATGATTAATTAAGCCACAATAATTACATATTCCTTTATTTCAAAATGGAATTAAAATGATTAAATAATCCAAATTCTCAAAATTCTAGAATTTTAAATAGTATCTCATCTGCTAAATCAATTAGATTGAGATAGCCAAAAATATATAATTATATGAAAAGAATTATCAATCAAAAAGTTTAAAGTTTAATTATCCAATTAGAAATGTAACTAAATTTTAAAGAAGCTTTAGCAAAAAATAACCTTTTTTATAATCTGTATAAGTAAAAGTAATATAAATAGGTATAAAAATGGATAGGATAATTTATTTAGAAAATTCAGTATAATAAGGATTTTATAGTTAGTAATAGTGATAAAAACAAAATAATTAATATAGAATTGAGAGTAAAGAAATAATTTTTAATGCTGGAATTCACATTAAATAGCCTAGGATTTATGTAGGATCCCAAAAAATGCTTATATATGTAAAGTACCAAGGTGCTTAGCCAATATAGAAAAATTTTATGATGTAAGAATTTATAATACTTAATTTTGAGAAAATTTTATACTATGTAAGATAATAATTAAATTGCATATTTTTGGTATTATTTTAAAATACTAAGAGTTTCTAATTACTTATTTTTATATTTATAGAATTCTTTAAAATATTATATATTGAATTTATAATTAATTTTTATTTTATTTTCACTAACGGTGATTGTTAATTTTGTACTACATTTTACAATTTTATATAAATACATAAATAGAGTTCTATACAGATTAAGTCAGATTAAGTTACCTGGTTAACCTGAACTGAAATTTTTTTTCAAATCAGATCAGGTTGAGTAAACTGTTTTGGCCTGACCTGACCCATTTGACCTGAAAGTATTTGGGTTACTTCAGGTAACTCAAATTACCTAAAATTTTATTATTAAATATTTTAAGTAAAAAACATTTTATAACTGATAATATTTTTTTTTATTAATTATATAAAAAATGTCAGGTTTGACATTTTTAATTAAAAAAAAAGATTTTTTTTAATTTTAATTTTTATTGAAAAACATCAGGTCTGAGTGAGTGATCTGGCATTTTACTTTTTGTTTTTATATATAAAAATACTGAAACTGATAGTTTCAGCATTTTTTTGAAAATTATTATTTATTGTGTATATGATTTATCGCTAGTATCCATTTATTATATAATATGTTATGTGATATGAAGTAATGATTATCCACACTTTCTTTTTATCCTTCTCATGAAATTTTTTTTATACTTCCTACAAAACATTTTATTCTTCTCACGAAACTTTTTTTCCCTCCTTTAGCATTTTAACTGACACAAGTATTTATAAAGTTATTTCATTCATTTTTACTCTTTTTATTTAACTATTCCTTATAAAAATACTAATATATTTTTATTCATAATTTTGTATACTTCCTTCCTCTTTGATAGCATTATACATTTTATTCATTTCCTTAGGGACATGCCAGAAATCAGCTAATTTCTTTCAATTAGTAACCTTAATCCCCACTCCTACTTGATTGAAATCTGATTAGCTAAAAAAATTATTACTATTAAATATTAAATATTATACATAATAATTAGTATTATATAATTATCTTAGCTTCTAATGATTCAATTTGAATAAACTTTTTTTTGTTTTGTAAACTAGATTTGTAGAACTAAATGAGTACTATAAAATAAAAAAAAAGTTTATTAAAATTAGACCACTAGAAGTCAAGATAATTGCATTATAATAATTATTATAATGTAAATACAAATATCTTAGCTTCTAGTGATTCAATTTGAATAAACTTTTTTTTTGTTTTGTAAAGCTAGATTTATAGAGCTAAATGAGAGCTATAAATTAAAAAAAGTTTATTAAAATTGGATCACTAGAAGTCAAGATAATTGCATTATAATAATTATATAAAAATAATTAAATTACTTATATTTATATTTAATTTGAAGCTTGACTCTTTCCACCCTCTTTCAAATCAGCTGATTTCTGGCATACCCCTTAGCATTTTCTGATTCTCTATATTTAAAAAATCATTAATAAAGTCTAATTTTGATTTTATCAATCCTGCAATAATACTACAGATAAAGTTAGCAATTATCAAAAAATAACAGATATTTATTAATTTGTAACTTTATTATTAAAGATTGACTAACATGAAACTATAGTTTTTTCTAAGTATCTAAAGATACAGGGAAAGTTCTTGCTACTGAAGATTAACTGACATGAAAAACTTTAGCACAGTTATACTCTCCACTATATAAAAATTTGACCATTATTTCTTTTCATTTTTTAGTATTTTTATTACAGTTTATCACAAGCTTAATAACCAATAAAATATTTAAAAGCAATTACTCATTATTATACTATATTGATAATTAATCTATGATCTATTCAAATGATCTCAGAATCTTCAAAAGTTCTCAAAATTTTCTATTCTTAAACATATCTGTAATGCAAATACATACTTGCATTTTTTGGCATCTGATAAGTTTAATGTACATGATTATTTCAAAAAAACATATACTCAGAATTAAAGATTAAAAAATTACCTAAACTATTGTTTAAAAACTGAAAATGAATTTTTAACCTGGATTAATATTATTAATATTTAGAAGGATTTACTCAAAATTATGATAAAAAACAATCATAAAAAAGTTTAAAATGGTACAATATAATTTAGGACTTTACTTACTTATAAGATAAGTTATTTCCAGACCTAAGGTAAAAATTATATATAAAATTCTTTGCAGATAAGAAAAAAAATTTTATGTTTCATTATTATAATTTTTTTCCTTTTTAGCTAATTAACCAATAGAATTTAAGAAAAAAGTAAAGTAAAAATTATTAGTAAAAGGTCAAATTTCTACAGTAATTTATTATAAATAAGCGGAATCCTTATGATTTCCAACTTGCCAAAAGGGTTCAACACCTTGAGAAAAATATATATTTATCTCAAAGAATATCAGAGCTGATAGAAGAATTAATTGTTTTATTTGATGAGGCGCATGAAGGTAAATCTATTGATGAATCTATTTTAGAAGAAGAAATATCATTACCTATTCAGAAAAGATAAGTTTTCTTGTTACAGTTAAAATTTATAATTAATTTTTAGCATGCTAATGCAATGATGCTAATAGACTTCAAAGCAAGAATTTTATAATATTTCTGATAAATTCAGAATAAAATTTCAAAAACATATTGAATTATAATGTAAGCTTTATTATTACTAAAAGGATGTATCAGAAGAATCAAAAAGTAAGCTATTTATTATAAAAGTATATTAATATAAATTTTATCTAATTATTTATTAATTAATTAATCTTATTTAATTATAATAAAATAGTATCAATGCAGGATATAACAAATAGAAAACAACCAAAAAGAGAAAAAAGAAAGGATACTACAAGTAAAAATAATTTGAAATCAAAAAAAATTAAAATTAATATAGACAATAGTAATAATGAACAAGAAACTATAATATCAAGTTTTATATAAAATTCGGTATATCAAGATTTTTTTAAATAATATAAAACTGGTTTTTAAAAAAGTTTAGAGTTTATTATATCGTATGTTTGTTACAAATCCATCTACCAACTCTATGATTGTAAATGGTGAAAGAAATCATACAACAGTACCATTTGATAATTAAGAACAGATAATGTATATATTTCATATATTTCAATCAGAGAAAAGGTCAATAAAAAAAATACAATATGGTACCGCGATGTTCATAGCTAAAATGATCATTCAATTCGCCTTTATAGATGTTACAGTTGATCAATGACATATTACAAATTTATTTGAATCTCAGATTCTTAACCGTGCACCATGGTAATATATCACTTAAAAAGATTTCTACGTGAATTGCATATGGTAAAGAAGAATTTTTATTTTTCTTTTAAATTAATAAAAAATATACATATAAAATTACATTTTTTATTATTATTTATAAAAATAGGTGGTAAAAATTATTGCGTATCTATAAAATTAACTATTTAACATCTTTGAAAAATGTACAGATGAAAATTAGATTGATAATTTACTTATTAACATGACAAAATAAAATAAAAACAAAACCTATTATCAATTAAAACAAGAAAGATTCTTTATTTTAACTGAATTAGTGCAAAATTCATCATCTAGGACGGAGGTTCTATTTTAGGGCATAATATTGGTGATGAAAGTCGGCTGTCACTTCGTTCTGATGATGATGGTTGTTGTTGATCTCCAGAAAAAGGCCTTGGAGAATTAGTAAAGTTATGTGCATGCCCATGACCCACTACATTTTGCACTCCTTGCGCTGTACTGGGCATTACTATGGAAGGCCTGGATTGTAAAATAGGATGATTATAACTTAATTCACCCATGGCTGGTGTACTACTTATTGATGATGTTGGGCGTCCGATAATATTGGAATTCATACCAGGAACTCTATGCAACGCTTGTTGATAATGAACGTGTGGTCTGACCTGAGACTGAGGTGTCCGAGTAAATAAATGACCGGAACGGCTAGTCCCATTAAAAGGTCTATGAAGTTGCCCAACCATCATTTCATTTGTATTATAATCAGAAGACTGGTGAGTTGAGAAAGAACTTTGTTGTGAAACGTTGTTATTATGTTGCGATGAACTTGTGGTATGGTGACCTGTGTTGATCAATTGTTGGCCAACTAATGTATTGTTATTACTTGGTAATCCCAATACGTATTGTGAAGAATGTGAAGAATGTGAAGAATATATACGAGGTACGGAATAATTGTTATTAATAAATGTTTGTGTTGAATTAGATGTAATGTTGTGAGAAGGAACCTGAATAGAATTCGCTATTCTATGCTGAATTTGATGTTGATGTGTAAATTGTTGTTGAACTTGCTGATGCTGTGCCTGTTGGTGCACTTGCTGGTTAGATTGTTGCTGATGCATGTATATATAACTTGATGGTCGAAAATGAGATGTCTGTTGATTTTGAGGATTCGACAATATATGTGCATAATGCTGCTGTTGTTGTCGCTGTTGCTGTTCAATTTGACGCTTCTGCGCCATTTCTCGGGCTAGATTCGCTTGATTCATTTGACTCATATATTGCGCATAATGTTGCTGTGATAAAGTTTGTTGGTTATTTGACCTAGCGGAAAGATGCAGCTCTGAATTTTGTGTCATAAATTGATGTCTGGGTACTGAGGAAATAACATCTTGCATGTTTGCATCACTTGAAATAGTACCAGTTGTACTATGTTTACGATCATTAACTTTTTCTGAACTAGCAACTTCATTCCTGTTGCTTCTCGTTTCTGATTGTTCTTCGCTGAACCAGGAGTTATCATTAACGTCTGTCGTAATTGTGTTCGAAGGATTCAACAAATTTAAAATGCTGCTGCTTTTTTGCACAGTTTCTGATGAAGGAGAAGTATTTGAAGACTTATTCAGCGAACTGGGCAACTCTGTTATTTGTGATTGCCTTTCGGTAGCTATGTTGATAGTATTATTTTCTACAATAGTTAAGAAACCACCATGAAGAGATAAGACCGTTTCGTCATTTTGTGAATTGATCAGTATATTATGTTGATTTTGTGCATTATGTTTGAGAGATTCATTGCCTCGTGAAGCTTGTACATTAGACTTCGCTTGTGATTGTTTTTCTTTTGAACTCTGTATATCGTCACTTGTATTAAATGGTCTAGTTTCGACATCATCAGTGTTACTCCCTATATTTTGTTTTTCAAAATGCTTTTCATAATAATTCTTTACTTGAACCTCAGTTTTCGATTTTATTACGTCGGATATTTTTCTGAAATCTTTGCCGAATTCATTTAACGATTGTTCGAATAGACTAACTTCTCTTTTGTTCCAATAAGATGATATTTTCTTTTGTGATGTAATACGATCTTCACTTGTAATTGAGCTTTTATTTGGAGAAACTTCATGATCCTTTTCAACAAGGGTTTCGACTTGTCTTGGTCGACCTTTACTTTTTGATACTGAAACTAATTCCTGTTGTGTAGAAGAATGTGTATTATTATCATTAGAATTTCCTTCAAGTGACATCAGGGTAAGAACACGAGCTGCTTCATCAACACTATCGTCATCATTAACAGAATTTTGCTTCCGAGATATTTGTGCATCAAATATGACTGGTACACTACTATCATCATCGTCATTGTCCACACTAGGTGGGTCATGTAATAGGTTGCGCTTTTTCTTTACAGTTTCACTTTCTTCATGTTGATCATGATCCTTCATGACTTTTTGCTTTCTTCTCGGCTTCGAGACTCTGGTCTTTTTAGTAGCAGGTAATAATGCAATTTCTTCAGAAGACTCTTGTATAACATGACTTGATTCAGAATTATTAACGAATTGTTCTTGAAGTTTTGATTCGTTTGATAATATATTTTTATTACTGTTATGATGTTTCATCAACACATCCGGTGTTTCTGAAGGAATTTCTTCATTTAAGTTTGAATGATTATGAAGCTCTTGTTGCTCTATCAAAGGGGGATCCGTTTCATAGCGTATTCTTTCAATAGGTTTGTTAGAAGTCTCATTAGCTTCTTCAGAAATTTTGTCAATTTTTGTCGATCCTTCGTCGATATTTTCTGAAACTTTACTATTATTTATTATGCCAGAATCACTATAACTTATCGAGACAATGTTTTGAGAGTTATTAGGTGACGCATGGTTATTTTTCCTTGCTTTACTATTTAGAGCGATCATACGCTGCCCGCGACCATTTTTTGGGATTAAATCCTTCAAATTTAAATCCTTTTTATTCCGATAATAATAAATGACACAATCATTGGCAGATTTAATTTTAAGATGATCTGCAATTTTACCAAATTTTTTTGGAAAAGATTTGAAAAATTCATAGAAATATTCTCGTTCTTGAATTGTCCAATCAATATTTATGTCAACATTAAAATCATAAAAACATTCAGGATCCGATACGCATCTATTATTGTTAATGAATTTTGCTTGTTGTCTATCTTTCGGATCTAAAATCATGGAAGGAACATTTGCCCAAGTTTGGCATTTGCGTTGTTCATCCTGGAGTATTTTCATAACTTCTTCCATTTCAGCTTCAGATCTAACAACATCACCACGACGTCTTCCTCTATTTGTTCGAACTGGCCATCTGGCTGCAAAACCAGACGTAGAAGAATTTCCATCATTATCGTCTTGTTTCATTTTTCCTTTCGTCTTTTGTAAAGATTCAAACTTTTGCTTCCATGCATAATGAACTGTTTTCCATTCTTGTTGCAGTGCCAGTTCTTTTTGTTTAATATTCCATTTTTGATCCTGAAAGTCTTCCATCAACATTTGACGAAGTCGATTGTAATCCAAAATGTTCTGTTGAAAAAAAGGATATTCTGACAAATTTTTGTATATTTCATTAGTTTGTCCCCAAGATCCAAAACGAATAAATGAATCAAGTGGAATATCTTCTGTTTTTCCCCTGTTTTCCGAATAAATGATTTCCCACATGTTACTAGATTTGTCATTCTCTTCATGGTCATCGGTTACTTTGTCACTTTCTGGAAAAATATATTCGGTAAATACAGTTTCACTATTTTGAACATTATTTACATTATTTACATGGTTTACAGTTAATTCATTATTAATTGTTTGTTCATTAATGAGGGCTGACTCCATTTGTTCTACTTCAATTAATATGGCTTCTTGATGAAAATCAAAATTTACACGTTTATTCGATTTAGATTTTCGGTTTGCACGTGCGAGACTTTTTTCTTCAATGCGCCTTCTTTTTTGATCAAGAAGGCTTTTATAATGATCAATTTCATTCTCCACTTTCTCTATTTCTGCTCCTATAGTATTATAATCAATTTTATCATCTAATTGAAATGAACCATCGATAATATATTGGGATGAGGAAGTCGGTATATTTGTAACTTCTGAAACAGGTAAACTACAATTTTCGTGATTTGTTAGCTCACCAATTTTACTATTAAGATCATCTTGATGGTTGTTCAAGTCTTCGTCCATTTCATGAGACAGTACATTTAGCGATTCTTCATCATAAATGTGATTATTACTTATATTAATTTTGTTAGAAGTATAAATAGACTCGTTGTCTTTTTTCGATATCTCGACACGATCTTCTACCGAATCATCAACTGCGTCCGATTCTTCCATAGATTCGAGATCATCACTACAAATAGAAAGTTTATTTTGAGATTGTGATGGTTGTTCATCGTTTTCACCTGAACTTAAATCCATATCAGCAGTTTGATCGGTAGCCGTCTCAGAATCTGCTGCATCATCTTTTAATTTTTTATGATCTCGCTCTTTTTCTTCATTTATAGCAACTATACTTCTCCAGCCTGTCCAACCTCCTTTCTCGTTACTTCCATAACCCTCATTTTTTTCATCTGCACTATTATGGACATTCTCTGACTCTTTGAGAGATCTTTCTTCTAAGTTAGTTTCGTCACGGATTGATGTTCCGGTAGTATGTAGATTTTTATAAACATCTAATGATTCGGTTAAATTAGGTAACATTGATTCTTCAACCTGTTCTTTATAATGATTTATTTCATCCTCGTTCTCACTATTATTTTCAACCCGTTTTTGTATTGATATTTTTAGAGGACGTTTAGATGAAATAACACGTTCCAAATCTGAACGTTTCGGTGAAGAACCTCCTGAATTCCCAGTGGAGGATCTAGTTTGTGGAGATACTGATCGAGTGGATGTTTTGGTAGATCTGCTGCGATGGTGAGAAGGTGGTGGTGGCGAATTTGTTATTGATGATCTTGTAGATGGTGATGATGACCTTCTATCTCTTTGTCTCCAATGATTATGTCTAGTAGCCATGAAATATCTACCATTTCTTTCAGATTCTCCCGATTCACCTCTTGATAAAGATGTTTCATATCTTGAATCATGTGGATCATCTCTATAGCCAGGTCCTGATGATACACCAGTCCTACGATAATCCCAATCCCTTGGATACCTCTTTCTGTGATAATCTCGATCACGATAATCATAAGGGTCATGTTGACTATCTCGTTCAAAATGTGATATATTACTAGTACGATACGTTCGATCTCTATCTCGTCTCTCTCTATCACGTTCTCTTTCTCTTTCTCTTTCCCTATCACGTTCTCTTTCTCGTGAATAAGGACTTCTTCCACTGACCCATTCCCTTTCATCCGGATATCTATAAAATTCTCGAAAGCCATATTGATTACCAGGACCAGGTGAAAAATATTCTCTATGGGTAGCTGTAGGAATTGTTGGCGAACTACCTGGTTGACGAAATCGAACTTCTCTCGTAGGAATAAAACGATCGTCATATTTCGTTCGTGCCTGCAAATAAATAATTATTAATATACAAGATTATTGGGTTTCCTTTGTAAATTAAGTACACTACTTTCAAATTTTTTTTAAAAAAAAGAAATCAATTAAAACTTATCGTATTATTTAAATTACTTTGGTCACCCGGATTTTTATAGTAAAATTATTTAATTTCTATTCAATCGTAGCATGAAGCTTTGAATTACTATCAAACAAACCTAATAAATATTCGAAATTTCATTTTTTAAAATATAAAATCCGGATAACCAAAGAAATTTGTAAGACGCAATGTAAATGAATATTTAAATTTGATAATTATAAAACAATTAATTAATTTATTTATAAATTCAAAAAAAAAAATTTTAATTTTAAAACACTAATTTTATAAACGTAAAAATAGAGAATAAAGTAAAATAAAAAGATATAGTTACCTCGCTTATTAATGAAAAGCCAATTTCCGGGGCTGGAATTATATCAGGTACACTATTTCGCAACGGTATATTTCTACGTTCACTAAACGATGAATTAGCACCACCTTGAGGTATCCTATCCATATCATCATAATCAATTGGAGATCTTTGTCTAGGTCTTGAACTCCTATTAAGAGCTTGTGTTTGAGGTCGATCGTCTCTACATTATTGTAGAAATGAACAAATTTTTTAGGTCACCAAAAGTTTATAATTAATAGAATAAATTAACGAATCGTTTATTACAACAGTAAATTGTCAAATAACGAGTATACCTTTCCCTAGACGGTAATCTGAATCTTTCATTACGTTGATCTCGATCCTCACGATCTCGTCTAAGAAAATAATAAACGTACATTAGTAAAAATGATTAATCTAGACAAAAAGAATAACCAAATTACCTTGATATCCTGATGTCCTGTCCGGAAGAAGTGGTTGTTTCCATGACGTGTCAATAAAGAAAAATTTTACAATTTTTAAGAAAATAAATAAAATAAGAATATAATTTTTTTGATTACATTTACCTTATAGGGATAAGAAAGTTATACTAAAACGATATTCATGCATAATCATGTATGATGATGTATTAGAGTGGTCGTAAATCCAACTGATCTAGCAGACGACCAACTTTTAAGTTCGGAAGGTCTTTCGGATAACAATGACACTTGGACGTGATGTTTATGTAACATACCTCGGCATTTCCCGAATTATCTAGATTAGATAATCGAAAAAACACATCTTTTTTGTTGACTTTTAAAAAAAAATACTCAATAGAAAATTAAATAGAAAAAAAATATCGATGAATTCTAAGACAACACTTGAAGATTCGGTTAAAGAAACTACAGAAAAGGCTGTTGAAAACGTAGTCGAAAACGTGGTAGAGGATAGTGTGAATGAAACGGAAGAGCCTCACTTTACACTTACGATTAATGTTCCACAGCTACCTGGAAAAACTCAAGTTCTTGTAAGTGTGCCTTTTTATAGGTGTGTTTTCATTCTTTTTACTAATTCGGACATATATAGGCAAACGCAAGCGAACTTGTACAAGAAGTTAGACAATGGCTCACTGACTCACCGGAAACATGCATATATACTTGTTTCTCACTTTGTTACAAAGATAAACGCCTCGATGATTATAAGGAACTTCAAGAAGAAGGAATTACTCAAGATTGTGAATTAGATCTTATAGAAGGTATAATTATTATGAATAATTTCTATCAAGCGTTCGTTATATGATATTAACAGTTATCTTCTATTATGATCAGAACCTTATACGGAACGTGAAGCTCGTATTCACATCATGCATGTTAGAGAACTACTCGTTGGCCCATTTAAACAAAATACGTCGTCTGTTGGGATAGATCCTGGATTATCATTTTTTTCGGCTGTTTCTAATATTAATGGTGTGTAGTAGAAGTATTTCTTTTTTTTAGCTCATACAAGTTATTGCTTTCTTATCTTAAATCGCTTTGCAGAAAAGGCTACGAATGAACAACACCAAAATAATGGAAAAGTCAAAGAAAACTCTGAAGCCAAAAAAACACCCTTCGCGGATTACGATTTTTCAGCACCTTCATTAGCAAAGTTTGTCCCTAATAATTTTGGTAGATGCTCAATTAAGTGTTTAGACTCACTATATCTATCCGGTTGGAATCCTGTACCATTTGAACGTCGTCGTAGAGGTGCGAATTATGCCATCTTTGAAATTTATAAGAATGGATGCTTTCATATTAACATAATTTATATAAATATTCAGGTGATCTTTTGTATTTGACTACAACGACTATAGAGGGTGAAATTTTGCATATTACTTCAGCAATTAATGGATTTTTTGCCAACAAATCGACTATGAAAAACTTTGATCCAAATCCTCGCTCGGACCTTAAAGTTTATCATGCTCATTCACTTGTTTCCCTTCTTCAAGCAATATCTCCATCTTTTCGTGCCAATTTTAAATCTTTGCAAGATTTTATTGCTTTACATCATCCTTTCGAGACAATCCCAGTTAATACTTGTTTTCCTGCTTACCCTTGGGTCGTTAAACAATCTAAACATATTTATGATATGGGACGTGCAACCGAAATATATTTAAGTCTAGGTACTGATGCAGTTGATTCTCTCCGTGACTGGAACGATGAATTTCAATCTCAGCGAGAATATCCGCGAGTTGAACTAAAAGACCGTGTTCTACGCGAAAGACTTATTAATAAAATACAAGCTGATTTTACCGAAAGCGCTGTGAAAGGAGCAATTGCTGTTATAAATGGCAATGTAATTCCTTTTAATCCTCGTGACCCTGAGGAGGAACATATGTATGTTTATAATAACATTTTTTTCAGTAAAGCATTTGATACAAGAGGCACATTTGCAAAACTTGGCGGAAACGATGCAGCGCATGTAGCAACTGGTAAAGATTTAGAAGGTATACGGACTGTGAATGCAATAGATGTAGAGGGATTATATACCCTTGGATGTGTTGTAGTAGACTATAAGGGGATTAGAATAGTTGCACAAACTATTGTTCCAGGTTTGAAAACATTTCTTAATAGCTTGTTATTTTGTATTTTTCTCAAATTCTTCACTATATTCTTTCAAGGAATTTTTCGACGTCAAGACGATTCATCAATTGTATATGGGTACTTTGATAACGGACGTGACGAGCCTAGATTATGTTCTGATCCCGAATTTCATGAAATAGTTGGAAAAGCTGCAAAACCTTTACATCTTGCCGAGCACAGGTATAAAGAAATTTTTCTTTAATGTTATGTCTGAAATACGTTATCAGGTATTCTCAATGAAATAATATTGCTTGAAAATTTATACATACATATATATATATCTCTTAAGAGATCAAATCAGGATTTTGGCTTACTGTGACATGTTGGTTAATAAATTTATAAATTATTTCTTAATCTTGTAGTGTTTCTGATTCTAAAGAGAATACTGTCAAACTTTATACCTCTCTTGAAACTAAGGTAAAAATAGTAACGATTTGGTAAGTTTGGATGTAAGGAAATATTTAACTATTTATTTATTATAGGGTTTGATGGGGGATGATGGTCGTAGATACTTGTTTGATTTATACCGTCTCAATCCCATCGATATTGAATTTTTGGAAAATGAATGTGAAGATAAAGAAGGAAGTAACCTTCCTCGTTATCCTCATAAGTTGACTTTGTTTAGACCGGAATTAATTGAATCCTATTGGGATCATAAATCGAGATTATGGCTTCAAGAAATAGCAACAGCTAAGCAAAAAGTAACTAAATTATTGTTCTAATAAATTACGTGTATGTGATGATTGATTTCTATTTTTGATAGACACAGGAAGATTCTACTCCGGAAGATAATTCCTCAGATAATGAAGAATTTAATTTTACACTAAATCCAGATGCATTTACTAATTATAAGTCGCCCGAAGGTGAAGAATATGAAAAAACTAAGAAGATAGACGAAGAGAACGTTCGTAATGCGTCTAAATATTTAAGGGATACGGTGATCCGAATGCTAGTAAGTGTAAAGAAATAAAGAAATAGTCTTTATAATTTTAATTTAATATCACTCGATTTACTTTTTTGAAAATCGTAGATAATAGAATTTACTACATTGGCTGTAACTCCTGTTGACGGTTCTTCGCTCACGACGACAATGCATCGACGTGGTATAAACATGCGTTATTTGGGTATGATCGCAAATGTTATGGACGAATCACAAGATAAAAAGTTGAATCATGTAAAAGTAAGTTAAATCTTTTTTGGCATTTATTTAGGTGAATAATAAATTTAACTTATTTATGAATTGTTCGTTTGTTTTAGCATCTTGTTATACATGAAATGATTATAAGAGCATCTAAACGCATTTTACGCAGTCTTCTTCGTGAATTACCAATAACATATGTCCCATATTGTATTTCACATTTTTTGAATTGTTTACTCGGCGCTGATTATAATCCCGATCCTCAACCGATGGTATCTGATACCACCATTGGTATTGATAACCCCACTTATGCTTACCTAAATCTTACACCCTCCTTGCTTTTACAACAAATTCGTGATACGGTACTTATTCGATTTCGTTATAGCCTATCTGAAAATTTTATTAATGTAAATGTTCGTAAATTGCCACTTTTGAGAGAAATTTGTTTACGAGTAGGTATACAAATTGCTGCTCAAGGATATCATTTTGTAAATGTGAAAAAGAAATCCAGGAAGAGACTTACAACTTTTTTACCAGATGATATTTTGAATTTAATACCCATAGTAAAGCAAGCTAATCCCAGAGTATGTTTAAAAACAGAGCCTTTTTTTATTATTATAAAAATTATTATTTATTATGAAATATTCTTTAATTGAAAATCAAAATTCCAGAGTGTTTTCGCTGAAGAAACTTTCGAAGCTGGAAAATTAAGCATTGCAAGAGGTACATAACGATAATTTACTTAAGTAAGTTAACTCTATTAAATTTAATAATCTTTTCTTTCATTCAAGGCCATCGAGAACTTGGTGTTGATTTAATGGTGCAATCCTTAGCGTTACATGAACAAAGCTATGGATTTCTTCATCCAGCAACAGCAAAATGTTATGCGGCATTAGCATTATATTTCTATCATCACGATGATATAGAAATGGCAATTGATTTTCAAAAGAAAGCAGTTGTCGTCTTTGAAAGGACTTGTGGCGTTGATAGCGTAGACGCAGTTCATAGTTATGTAAGTTGCAAATTTTTAAAATTTATAGTTTAAGTGTTAATTATTAGAAATAAACAATATTTTCTTTTTTTGTTCGACTTTAAGCTTCATCTTGGTCTTTTCGAAAATGCTGTTGGTAATACAGAGTTAGGTCTTCGCTATATGAGACATGCAATGTATTATTGGGAAATCATTTATGGTCTATTACATCCAGATGGTGCAACAGCTGATGTGATTATTAAACTTTATTATCATAAACTGTGAAATTTAGTCTATTCATTCATTAAATTTTACTTACATTTTAGCAAAATGTCGGAATCATGTTGCAAAATATGAGAGATTTTGAAGGTAGTGTTAAATTTTTCGAACGTGCTAAAGACACAAACGAAATAATTTTTGGAAAAAATAACGTAATTACGGGAGAATCGTAAGTTGAGTCGTGTATTTTATTTTATGCTTTTAAATAAATTTATATATAATTTAATTTTAAATAGATACCACTTGTTAGCGAAAGCTTTGGCATTTGCTGAAGATTTTAAAGCTGCATTAATTGCCGAAAAGTCTGCATACAATATTTTCCACGCAATGGTAAGCAATGTAATTTTTGTAAAGACGGATCACTCGCATAAAAATTAATAATTTTGAAACTGACATTTTTTTAATTTAGTACGGTGCTGATCATCAAAAGACGAAGGAAACTGAACTTTTATTAAAAGATCTTACTTCAAATGCCGTTCATAATGTATATATACTAAATATGAAATTAATCTTCATTTCGATATCTAATGTATTTTGAAATTTTATAGGCTAAGATGGCTTTGCTTAAGAAACAAGATAAACAACCACAACCACAACCACAACCACAACAACAACCACAACAACAGCAACGCAAACCTACACCAAGAACAACCACAGTTCAGCTAAGAACCACACCGCATCATCTTAATGTTTCAACTCAAGTTAAAAAAAAGAAATTGTCAAAAAAGTAATACATTGTTAATCAGAAGACAATTTGGAATTCATTTTAACTTAATTAAACAATTTTAGCTTAAAGTATTAATAATAAAAAATCCAACTTTAAATAATAATATTAAAATATGCTTTGTTTTTAAGTGGATTTGATTTTTAAATATAATTCTTTGCGTAGCGAGGATCCTTGATTAAGGACATGTAGGGGTACGTTGATCAAATTTTAATTTTTACGGGGTCTGCAATCTCAGACTTGAATAAATTATAATTAGTAGAAGTATTTGCACCATTCTAGACATTAGAGGAATCCGAAGGAAAAGAGTTATATTCCTTTATTTCGTTTACTAAGTAAGTATTAATATACAACATCGATGAAGGATCATTAAATGAAAGATAAGAATATATTTAATTACTATAATATTATAAAAACTGCTATTCTAATTCATTCCTATAGTTTTAGTAAGAAAATTCGTTAAGTTCCGTAAAACTACTTCAAATGACTTTAATTCATTTTTTTCACTTACACCCATATCTAATAATTTTTTTACTACACGTGTTACCTTTAATAACCTTTCAAATACTTCAGTAAATAAATCTTCTACATCTTCCTTGTTTCTATCTTCAGAAAAGAAGCACGTAGTTAATTGAGAAGTTGCCAATACGAAACTCATCTCAATTATAATAATAGACGATTTCCAAGTAATTTGCCAGAATTTCAAATCACTAATACTATTAATAATATTAGTGTCAAGTATGTATTCCCACAATTGAATTAAAGTCATGCCGTGATCTATTAATTCAAATAGTGTCGCAATTGTTGCTGGATCTTTATCTGATACTTTCATCAACGGTTCAAAATAAACAAGTTGATCTGACCATGACGGTATAGACATATGAAAAACATTATGCGATTCAGTCAGAATAATATAGGTAGCCAGTATATTTCTGTTAATTGATAAGAGTTTTTGTTGTACCCTTTGTAAAAATATATTCATTTCAGATCCTCCACTGTCTGATGATGTTAAATCGATATCCGGTAAAACATTTTCAAATGCTAACTTAATTCCTCCAGATAATAGGGTTGCTGATTGTTTTGTTTCCTCTGATATTAAAGGTATCATCACTCTTGAAGAATATTTTGGATGTGTGAAAAGATAAGTAAGTTTTGCCAAAAGTATTAGCAAAGGATCTTCATAATAAACTAAACATTCACTTGCAATATCCAGTTCTTGAGTATTTAAATGTATTGATAAATGATAAAATAATATTGTAATGTATTGTATCTCCTCCAGTTTGAACATATTGGTAGGTAATTCACATTCCATTGCTCGTTGAATTTGTTTTTTGTAAAGATTGATAAATCCAACAACGGATCTCAAGATAACACTCAAGTCTTTTCTCTCAACTGTTCGTAACATAGCAGTAATGACCGCTAACATTAAGCACCAAATTTTATGCCAATTCTCTACTAAATTTGGTTCAACTTTCCCTTCTTGTAATTCTGACGATAGTCTATTATTACAAAATGCCGCCATGACTCCATCTCTAAACAATTGCATCGCTCCAATCGGAAAATTCGCCAATGTCAGTAGAAAATATATTACCCCATCAGAAAATTTAGGTCTATTTTTCCATGGTACTGACATTGAATAAACAAACATTTCTAAAAGTAAGTTAATAATTTTTTTTTCAGTAAGTATACCTAAACATATTGAAGGATATGGATTACATAATGGTTGTACAAGATAATCTAGTGCTGTTAATACTATTAAAATGTCTTCTTCCCGATTTTCATCAATCCCATCTTTTTTAGTCATTGAAACTAAAAATTCGCATAATTCTGAAAGGAGCGATTGACAACTTTTTTGAAATTGTGCCAATACTTTATCATTACTTTTTAATATAATATTAGAATCATGAAGCGCCCGTAAACATAATATAAATGATTGTAAAATTGGCCGATAAGTTTTGAATGTAAAATGATTTTCACCCAAATTTTGTATCGGATTAATAACACTAGTTAGACCATTATACAATGATGTAACTAATTCAGCATAAAGAATTATTCTATCCCGAGTTTGATCTTTTGAAATTATAAGTTGTTCCATTGAATGTAATAATAAATCTGCAAGATCGTCACGAATAGTAATTTCAACATTATGGCCACGACGAATTTCTTCCACAAGTCGTTCTGCGGTCATCCCTAGTATTAACTGAGATATATCGTTTTTCTGTTCGGTGATCCAAAATCCATCAGATAGTATATAAGATGCGATTTCTATAAAATATTTCCAAGATTTAAAAAGAACCACCTGAGCGTTTATTTTTGACACGTTATGAGATTCTTCAAAGGATGATTGGTCGATATTCGTAAACTTGTCAAGACAAAATTCTAACATATCTTCTTCGAGAATCTCTTGGAGAATTTCTCTTATTCCCTCTGCAGGTAACGATTTGAAAAATTCGCTACGACTTTTGTTTCCTTTATTCCTCATCTGGTTTGCAATAAGACAAAGTTCACGACCCAACAACCGGAATAAGAAACCTTTAATATTTTGTCCACAACAAATTTTTTCAACGTTAGCGGTTGATCTACTAGCAACAGTTCCTTGAGATAATCCGAATGATTCGTTTTCATTATCGTACAATTTCATACGTAATATTTCTGATATACTATCCCATAATTCATTATTTTCACGTATTTTTTTTAAAATTATGAATTCACCTTTACTAACATTTTCCCATAATGTGCTTAGGAATCGTACAGCAGCAAGAAGCACTCTTGATTCATTAGCATAAACTTTTTTCCAATCTCTCAAAAGATCAATGATAACATCAATAATATTAACTGAAAGTTTAATTTTCTTTCTTTTACCTGTTTCTTTTCCTTTACCTTTACGGTCTAACTGCCTAGAAATTAAATCAATCCCACCAAAAATTGACAATCCAACATGAATCTTGGTTGAAACTGTAAAGAAATCCAAAATAGCTACTCGTAAATCCTTAACATTGATTTCAGACGCAAATCGATCTATGAACTTATTATATAAAATTATTGTTTCAGTTTCATTACCAAAGAGCCCACTTAAAGATGATTGAAATAGTATAGATGTATTAGAACATGAAAAGAGCAGTGTCATCAATTCGCAAGATAAAATAGAAACTCCCAATCTATGCGGATATGATACGTATGAAGAAATAATAATTATCAACTCTTTATTAAAGTTGACATTTGTCCTGTCTAATATTGTTAACTCTAGCCAAGAAATTTCCGAAGTTTTTAACTTATGAATTCTAAATAATCTTAAAAGAAATGCTAAAGCCAATTCCAGCAATATGTCGGATTTTTCCAACCGAGAGTCGATTGTCCTTTCATTATTAATAGAGAAATCTTTATTTTTTTTAATAATGTAGAATAAGGGTGAAATATGATATAAACCTTCATTCATCATAAAATGATTCCATAGGTATTCCTGAAGAGGGTTTCGTAAAGGATCTTTTGTTATATCAATTATAGGATCATAATAATTAGGAAGTTCGGATCCCAGAGGGCAGCCTATCAAAATTTTATTGAAAATATTCAAACATTTAATTCCAATTTGAATATGCTCAAGTTCATCTTTGTACCTCCAACGATCATAGGATACAAAAATAACATTCAGGATATAAGAGGTAAAAGAAAGAAGAATGTCCTTTAAGTCATCTTGATCCTGTTTCAAATCGAAATCATCCACATGACTAAAGAATTCAATAGCGAGATCTAAAACAGCTATCGTTATTGGATAACGACCTACAACACATTCTTGCTGTAACAATAGATGATGTAATTTACATACAAATTGTGAATTATCGTCCATCCAATCATTCGAAGTTAAATTTGGTAAAAATCCCGATTTTAAAAGATATGACACGATCCTACTATTAAAATACGGTAATAATACTTTCACACATCGTAATCCTGCAGTAACGAAATCGAGGGCATCAGGAACGTTATTCATAATATATTCGATAATTGCAAAGATTGTAAATGCAAGATCATTATGAGGTTTATTATCTTGAAAGCATGTCTCCAAATGGTTCAATATTTTTTCAATCAAATCCGGAGAGTTAGATAAAAGTGCGTATAAAAGTTGCAATATTTCCTTGATTCGAAACGTAGTTGGATCATCGGTTAAAGTAGGATCATAATCAAAAGGGTTCCTTCCCTGTATTAAAGGGAATGATTCCAACATCTCCAAAAAAAGTTGCCATCCAGAATATTTAATTTTCCATTGAACTAATTTATTTCCATTGATCTGTTCAATCACGTGACCGGCTGTATTTTCTGGAATGGTAAATGCAACTTGATAAACATTTTCAAAAAGCTTGATTGACTGTTTAGCATAAACTATATTTTCATTACTTATATCAAATTTAAGTTGTTCATCTCTAACCAAATAACAACACTGACGAAAATTTTCCAATAAGACAAATATTTCCTCTGCCGAATCCCTGTCACCAGATAATGCAGTATATAATCCCATTAATGGGTGAAAATTTTGAGGAAATCTAGAAATCGCCCAATCAAATAAAGAAATTCGTTTTTCATAAAAGGAATCCTCCTTAAAGAATTCACTGCATGGACCACCTTCAACAAATATTTGTGCAAAACAATCCACTAGGAGTTGATGTTTTGGAATCTCTTGTATTTTAAATGCTTCAAATATTGAAATAAAATAAGTTTTAAAAATTTTCTTGTATCCCTTTACGTTTAATTCCTCTGGTCTGAAACATGGACCTATAAAAATACTATAAATAGAATCTAAAACATTCAAATCGTAAGCTTTTGCAGCATTTGCTGAAATCATACTATTAAAGTAACTTTCTAGATCTTCGTATTCATTTGGCCAATTTGTTTCATCGTAAAAATGCTGTATATGAGTTAAATATGAAGCCCATAACCAGAGAAATATTCCATTAGAAGGATCATTATCCATATTTAATGCTATCTCAGTGACTCTTCTAACATCATTTGATGAAGCTGCTCGTTTATTTTTTGCATGAACAGATGGAAAAATTTCTGTGAAATTGAATTCAACTAGAGTCATTATAACTATAAGAATTTGAGTAAAATGATTGACTTGAGTTAACATGTCATGTCCATTCGAGTCGATATGCAGCGTAAGGAATTGATTATATCCAAATTTTGTTTGCATACAATGAGTCAAAAATCTTGTCAAATATTTTTTTGTTGATTGTTCAGAAATTTGTCCTTTATATATCAAGCATAATAATTCTAATAATTCTATTTGTTCTTTAATATATTGACTTGAAAAACTAAAATCTTTCATACTTTCTGGTATAAATGCTTGTACACCAATATCAGCCAGATCTTGAAATTGATCAAATATTCGATCTATAAATTCATCTAAATCAAGATTACTTATAAAATCTTCTGCTGAATCATAATAATACCAATTTGTATCTTCATAATAGTAAAATAATATACTCAAAATCTTAATTAAATTAAGACGTTCTTCATAATAAAATTCTATTAATTTTGATAAATATCCTTCATCATTAAACTTGTTATAATCATCATATTCTGATTCGAAACTCTTCATCAAAAAGTGTGTTGCTCGCACGTCCAACTGAAGGGCTTCACTAGCTAAACCTTGTAAAGTACCATCATTTTTAACATTCGTATTATCAAAACAATCCAAGCACACTTTTAGTGATGAACTGTGATATTTTATTATTTCTTTCATAGCATTAGGTGGACAACGTATGTCCTGTCTCTTATACACATCTAGATGTGTATAAGAGACAGACGTATGTCTGCTTTTTCTAAAGCAAACCGTAAAGCTCGAAAGGATCTGTTGTTAAGTTAAAAGTAAAAAAAAAAATAAAGTAATTAAACTTCAATAAAAAAAAAACTTATTTATCGTGCTAGACTAAGAACTAATAAAAATGTAACAATATAAAAAAGAAAAAAAAGAAACTCAACCGTTTATAACGGTCAAACATCGCCGGATTAACAGATAGATCTGACAAACTTTTCGCAGTTCCAGTACTTTCGCCATTTTTACGTGAAATATTATTTAAAGATAACAGAGACATGATTTTTTTCGAACAAATCCACTATGTAAAATCTATATATATATATAACATATTGGTGTAATACCTATCAGAATGTAGATCCTAACACTGGATGATTTACAATGATAATTCTAATTACATAATATTCCTTTTTTTTTTATCCTTGTTCACATTTAACGATAAACAACGCGAAAAAAAGGACACAAATGATTTATTTATTTAATAAAATATTATATTTTCACGTAGTTAACGCGACGAGTATAAAGAATACAAGAAGAGAAAAAAAAATAAAAAAGAGAAAAAGGAAACTTAAACAATTAAAACATATTCTAAAAGGAAAGTACTAATAAAGAGCTAAGAACTAATAAAGAACTAGGAGAATTATCAAGAAGTTTATTGCTTATTATCGGTTGGGTTTTGAATATTTGAAGCAGCAGCTTTTGAATCAACAGAAGGAACGGAATCATAAGCAGGTGGAGGAACAACGGTGTAAGCAGGAACAGGAGTATAATATACAATATAACTTGATCCTTCAATATCACCATATTGTTTTTCAACCTTAAGTCTTTGATAATAAGCCCAAACTGCCATACAAAAATGAAGCTATGAATTATTCATAAAAAAAATAGTTGTCAGATAAGTGAATGAATTTATAATCACCATAAAAAAACCAAAAGTATTTATTTTTGTTTATTAAAATTACTCAATTACTCACATCAATTATACAGCTTATTGCAAGCATAACGACCATAGTTGAAACGGTTTTAATATACCAATTCACACAAGTTCCCATATCCATATCAATATCAGGTTCTTCAATTAATTGTTCACAAACATCTTTATTAAAATAAAATGCTACAACTGAAAATACGATTGAAATTGTGAACCCTAACATAAGTTGCCACCAATAGAATGTGGCAAAAATTCTAACATATTTAGCATTATTCTAAATTCAAAGTTTTTATTTAGTACATTAAATAAATATGTAATAAACATAGTTAAGAATGCTTACCTTTAATACACCTGCGATACCTGCAATACAGGCGAAAGTAGCAGCTAAATAGTATGTAGATAAAACACTGTAAAAGAATCCAAAGTTACCCGCCAAGATCGATAAATGATACGCATTGGATAAATAAGATAACTGTGAAATAAAATGAAATAAACAAATATAAAACAGTATGTTAATCAAGATAAACTACTTAATAAATATAACTTTCAACGAATACTTACAGTCCCAAGAGAGGCTAATATAAGAGTAGCAGTCCTAAATTTTATAAAAAAAATATTTTTAAGTACATGTAAATAACGTTATTTTAACTTATTATAAAAACTTTAGAAATTGCTTTACCTAAGACCAATACAGAAACAACACTTAGACAACATAGTATTCAAACTTTGAAATAAATCTTATGATATAGAAAGTAAAAATCTAAAAACGAAAATGTCAGAGAATGTACAAATTTAATAAACATCCGGCGCAGCGCCGCAGCACAGCAGGGTCAAAGTTTTTCCGAGCGCCACAACATAATTCTGGCTTCAATCTTGAGCTTTAATTGTAATGGAAGCATTTTTTTCATCAATCGACCTTCCAAATTACGATCCTGATAATTGGGAAATAACATTCTCGATGTTATCTCGTCCGTGTAAATCATTTAATGATATCAAGAAATTGATTATATTTTTTTCTTCAATAGATTATACATCGGAATCATCTCTTTTAACTTTATTCAGCGAAAATAATGAGAATTTACCTAAATTAGATCAAAAACATTATGAAGAAATAGTATTTCCTGAATTGGTTAATATAGCATTAGAATTACCTAAACATTTTCCTTGTGGTAAAATAATTTCAAATGATACTCATGAAAAAACGGAAGGATTTGAAAAAATATTTTTAACACGAAGAAAAATTATTTGTTTGTTATCACACATGTTCTTATGTACTATGTCAGATAAGAAAACCCATCTGGGATCATTTAAAGAATGGAATTCAAGTGAATTACCTTCCGCCAAACTTTATTTAAAAGTATTAATGATTTATTTTAATAGGATAATAACAAATAATTACGAAGTTGATATGAATGATGAGATGGTAATTTGTCATAAATCATTAAGTGACGAAATGATTCCGATATGGGCAAATTCCAATATTTCTTTAATAAATTCGATTAAAACAAATACTTCCGATATTCCTGGTAAATTTGATGAGATTGAAATTGATCCATCAAATAAATTAATTGGATTTGGAAAGTCTGGTACAGCAGAAGAAATATTATTTGGTTGTTCACCAGAATTATGTGTTCTTACATTATTTTGTAATTCAATGTCAAATAAAGAAACTATATTAATTAAAAATGTTAAAAAGGTAATACAACATTCAGGATATGGTCCATTTAAGGTTAAATATAAACATGAAATTGAAAATTGGTGGAAATTATCAAATCAAAAAGTAAGATGCATTATTGCTATGGATGCATCTGAATTTGACCATATTGATTCATTAAAAAATTCTTTAATATTACAATTACAAGATAATTCATTAATTAGAGAATTAAATAAAGCCTATTGTGGATTTTCTTGGAATCAAAATTTCAAAAATATTAAAGATATTGGTATTGGATTTTGGGGATGTGGTACTTTTGGTGGTGATAAAGATATTAAATTTGTTATTCAATGGATTGCAGCTTCTCAGATTAATACTAATAATAATATGAAATTAATTATATATACTTTTAATAATATTGATTATAAGCAAAGAATTATAAGATTTATTGAAAAATATAAAAATTCTTTAGTAAAAGATTTATGGAAATTACTTAAAAATTATGAAAATTATATTATAAATTTTAATGATAATGAAGAGCAAATTTTATCTTTATGTACCTGGGTTTTTAAAATTTGATCAGTTTTTAGAAAATTCTTTTTTTCAAATAAATAATTTTATTTATTTTTTAATAATAAATTATTTTCAAAATAAATTTGTAAAGTTACTAAGATTTTAAATTTATTTGAATATTATTTTTATTTTAATTTAACATTGTTTCAATTAAATCTAATAATTTAATACAATATAATTATTAGATAAAAATTATTTATAATATATAGAATTATATAATTTATAATAAAATTTGAACTTATAATAATTTTATACATATTGTTCAAATTATTTTAGGCTGTTATAATTATAAGTAAAATCCCAAATTCAATTATAATATCCAAATTATTTTGGCACTTTACATAGTAAATTATATAGAATTACAGCATCCCAAATTATAATTATGCCATCCTAAAATAATTTAAATAACATATATAGTTATGATTTAAATTTAAATATATAAAGTTATATTAAAATTTTAAATTTAGATCTAAATTATATACTGTATATATTCTTTAAAATCTTAGCAATTTAGACAAGAAATTTATTAAAAATTATAATTTTTTTTCATTTAATGATTTGAAAAAAATTTATCACTAAAAAAAAATTGTTGTAAAATATACTAGCTGTTTCCTTATTTTTACCTTTTGCTTTTTTTTATTTTTGTTTTTGTATATGGGGCTCTTTTTTGTTTTTTTTTCCTGTGTCTATTTTCTTTTAGTGTGAAGATACATTTAAACTAAATTTATTAATGATCTCTCATTGCACAAAAGGGTTAATGGCCTATTTTTATATTTTATGATGTTATACATCTATTTTGTATGAAATCTGCCATCAAAAAATTTTTTGGGGTGCAGAATTGCAAAAATCTATGAAATTCACAGATCTCTGCTTTTTTTTGTCATTTTTTTATGCATTTCTGCAAAGTTCTGCAAACTTTGCAACTTTGCAGATAATTAAATATTTTTATTTATCAAACACCGGTCATGTCATAGATCGGCATAGGGACTTTTTTACTATGAAATTTGTGTAACAGTAAATTTTTACTCCATTTCACATAATAATATATACTGAAATTTTGCACATAAATTCAAAATGTTTTAAAGTCTTTGTGAGTCAATTTTTATTGAAATTGAATACATATTGAAAAATTTTTATTAATGATAACTTTTACATTTTATTTAATATATAAAAGATTTTTAAATTTGAAAAATATTTATTTATTATTTGATTACAGTATGTAATATATGTCAAATATTCTTTTTATGCTATTAAAATTAAATTTATGCATGTAATTTTTGCAATGTTAATACAGACAAACTACAGAAAAAAACAAAAATCATGGATTTAATAAAACATTTATTATCAAACTAACCTTTTACTCACTAAGCATTTCGATTTCTTGTAAAAATTTACATGTATTTGAGTACTTTAAATAATATTTAGTTTTCATACAAACTTGCATCTGGGGTTGAAGTCAAAAAAGTAGGAAAAGTTAGCCTAATATAAACTTCTCAAATAAGCATTATTTTGTTAAATAAAAGGTTGAAACGAGTAGGTAAGAACCTGAAGAATAAAAGTTTACTAAGGTCTGAAAAGGCTTTACTTAAGAGAAAACTTATTAAAGCCGCACGAATATTTTTTCTGTTTTGGCACTCAAATGTTCGATTTAAAGTTATTCCACTCCATAGTAACTCTAATTTATTGACAATAGGTGCAATATAATGATTAATCTTGTGCAAGCTTACTTCGTTCAGTCCTGATAGTAGACCGAGAACCAGCAAATTTTCATGCTTAAACCGAATGTCACAGGGTAAATTACAAATAGCTGTGTAAATTACTCCAATACTATAAAATGTACTATCGTAAGGCTGGAACTAATTAAGGTTTATCATTAGTCCTAGATGTAAATTGGCTACTTCTGGTCAGAAAAATTTGGCCGAATTTTCATTATCAGTTTCTCTGAATGTTTTCCAAATTTGACCGTTATATATATCAGTCAGTATGTTATCAAATCATCGACAATTTGACCAATGTTGAAGTAACCGTTCAAAGTGAGGTCAACAATATAGAACTTCCAATTGTTGATGAATCGGTACAAACGGATATATTAATTCTGACTTTTTAACCTCTCTCTCAGCTAAGACCGTTTGACATGATTTCATCTTTCGAGACACCAAATTTGGAAATTCGACGTGACTGCATCTTATAATACCGATACTGTCATTTTTTTGAATTTCGTCCATGTCTGTCTTGTTATATAATTTATGACATTTCGGACATGGCACGAAACTATGGAAACGATCTTTCAAGCCAAGTTGAATTCTTGCCAGATATAGAGAGTCAGGAAAGCTATTGTAAATATCTCTGCCGATTTCTTTTAACATTATTTTCATGAATTTTAGTTGAGATTCGGTCGCTGTTTCAGGGAGATTGAACTTTTTTCGAAAGGTCATTATCCACAATAAAATCCATGAAAATTTATCATCGATTGTCATTTTTTCTTCCTCTTGATATGATTTAAAATCTGGCGGTGAATAATTTTCAAAAGTATCGGCAAAAGTTCCTCATCTGACTCATTGCCATCAGAAGAAGAAGAAGTATCAGTATGTTGTTTATAATCAGAATTGCTCAAATCTTCTGTTTCTGAATGTTCGAGCATAATTTGTGGGCGATTTGCGTAGCTTCTTGTATGGCTTCGAGGTAAAAAAATATATTCATTTTCATTGTATTCTGGAGTTGTTGAATTATCCTTTTCATTTAATGGAATTGTTGTTGAATCTTCTTCAAAAGGAGTTATTACCGAAATTTCTTCATTTCATGGAGATATCAAAATATCTTTATTTATTGGATTTTCTTCTAACGAAGTTATTGTCGAATCCTCTTCTTGATTAATTAGTAACAATGAAGTCAAACTACTATTAAGATTCGAGTCAGTTGTGTTTTCCGCCGCTTCATGAAGTATTTTGGTTCATAATATAACCAGTTTTCCATTACATTTATCACAATAACAAGGGACTTTAGTTTTTTTTTTGCTAAACCTTTTAGAAGATAGTTGGTTTGCTATCTTTTCTGAACCCATAATTTGATTAATCGATCTTCTTCTAATCATGTTTTATAAAATTCAACAAAGAATTGGTTATAATTAATATGTACTTTAAAATTTAACGAAATTTTGACAAATGAAGTCAATTTTTCTCTTGAAATTAAAATTTTATGAAATTTTTTTTTTAATTTGAAATTTTCGGTTAAATTTAATCCATTAGTAACTATTGATTTAATAAAAGTTTAATTTTGAGATTTTGATTAATTAAATTTTCAATCATGAGAATTTTTTTTTAATTTGAAAATTTCGGTTAAATTTGATCCAGTAGTAATTGATTTAATAAAAGTTTAATTTCGAGATTTTGATTAATTAAATTTTCAATCATGAGAATTTTTTTAATTTGAAAATTTCAGTTAAATTTGATCCGTTAGTAATTGATTTGATAAAGTAATAAAAGTCTAATTTCAATTAACTTTTAAATCAAATTTTGGTTTTATTTTTATCAAATACACTTTTTCCCAGGAAGCTTATTTTGAATTTTGAATTTTATAAAGCTCTATCAATCAAATTTTTTTCGCAAAAATAATTTTATTTTTTGATAAATAATTCTCATAATTTTTATAAAATCTGCTTATAAAGCTCCATCAATCAAATTTTTTTCGCAAAAATAATTTTATTTTTTCAATAAACAATTCTTGTAATTTTTATAAAACCTCAATACATTTTATATTGATCGTCAAACGTAACTTTTATATAAATTGAACAATATTTTTCGTCATTTTGAAAGAAAGTTCTACTTTATTTACTAATTTTACTATTCTTCTGTTTATTAAAATCTACTATAAAGAATGAAACGATCTGGAAAAAAAAGTGTCAAAAAAAATTGTTAAAAGTCTCACAAATAAATTTCAGCACAAGAATCTGCAAGTTCTGATTCTTCTAAACAAATGTCAATATCGAAACAACAAGAATCCACAGCTTTTGGCTCTATCAAAACCCAAAAGCAAATGTCAAAACAACGGGAATCCAAAGCTTCTGGCTCTACCAGAACCCAAAAGCAAGTGTCGAAATAACAAGAATCCGCAGCTTTTGGCTCTACCAAAATCCAAAAGCAAACGTCGAAATAACAGGAATCTGCAGCTTCCGGCTTTACCAGAACCCAAAAGCAAGCGACAAAACAGCAAGAATCCGCAGCTTTCGGCTCTACCAGAACTCAAAAGTAAACATCAAAACATCAAGAATCTGCAGCTTCTGGCTCTACCAGAACCCAAAAGCAAGCGACAAAACAGCAAGAATCCACAGTTTTTGGCTCTACCAGAACCCAAAAGCAAGCGAAAAAATAGCAAGAATCTGCAGCTTCCGGCTCTACCAAATTCCAAAAGCAAACGTTGATACCAGAAACTTTGGAAAATAAGGGGCCATTTCATTTAGTGATACCATCCAGCTTGTACCAACAAAGCAGGATGTTATTACCAATTTGTAATGTAACCGTACAAAGAGAACCAACTCCATTTACACGTACCGTACCTCATAGGAGTAATATCCATCATAGGAAATTAACGCCAGTACGCACCGAACCCTATTATAGGAGTAATGTCCACCATAGAGAATTAATGCTAATTATTCGTACTGAAATCTATAGGAGTAATTGGACTAGAGATGTAAATGGTGAGCTACAATTGATTTTTGTATTCATTTTAGAGTTCTGGTTGACTTTAACGTTTTTTTAGAAATGGTTGATCTCCAAGAAGAAAATGCCTATTTACGGGAAAGAATTGACGAATTAAATCGGCAACTCGATAATGCAAATGGCGAGTTGCGTTGTATAACAATATACTTAGCCAGAAAAATGACAGCTTGCGTCACCGACGTTCATTTGACCTTCAAGATATCGAATTTGAAGAAGATCAATGACTATCAAAGCGTAGGAAAGGAAAAAATACAGTGCGCGATTCTGGAGATGAAATGGAAATAGATGAAGAAAAAGCTAGGGTTCGTCCAAAAATCCTTTTTTAATGTATGCTTTTAACGCTCACTAAACCAATATTTTATTCAATTTAGGCTGAAATAAAGACGGTTCTAAAAACTTTTCTGATTGAACTAGAATTAATATATGATGAAAAGTTTAGCAATGAGTCGAATGATTTTTTATTTTTTATTTGTTTTATTTTTTTCATAATAGGATTGATTTTTTTTCTAATAATAATTAATAGATTTATTACGAAATATCTTGGACTAACACGCTTTCTCTCTTCAATCTGCATAACTGATATGAACGTGAAATTATGATGATGAGATATATAATATCGTCTCTCATCATCCACAAAATGCTTCAAATTGGACCTATGTGGAGCAGAATACGCTGGCTGATACTGACTTTTATGAGCCAGAAACGCCGATTCAAATGATGGAGAATCTAATAATGGCGGAAGATGTGAAAGTGTTAGCAAAGATGGACAAAATAGAGGTAATAGAAAATTCAGAACTAACAGGAATAGAAGAATCAGAACCAATGGAAGAATTGGAACTAATGGGAATGAAAGAATCAGAACTAATTGGAGTGGAAGAATTGCTGAAAACGGAAGATGAAATAGACAAATGGTATAAATTTGTACTTTAATTTTATTTTCGTAGGAAATTTTTATTATTTGAGTATTATTTTAGTATTATTTAGTATTATTTTCATTATTTTTGTATTATTTTAGTATTATTTTCGTAGGAAATTTTTATATTATTTTTGTTATTTTTGTATTATTTTAGTAGTATTTTCGTAAAAAATTTTTATATTATTTTTGTTATTTCCGTATTATTTTAATAGTATTTTCGTAGGAAATTTTTATTATTTTAGTATTATTTTAGTATTATTTTTGTATTATTTTTGTATTATTGTTGTAGGAAATTTTTATTATTTTCGTATTATTTTAGTATTATTTTTGTAGGAAATTTTTGTAGGAAATTTTTGCGAATTAATTGATTTAATTAAAATAATTGGTAAATCAATCAAAATAAAATTGCTGTTTTAAAACTTAAATTTGCTAAATTTCGTCAAAATTATTATGGTCGATTTTATTTATTTTTGCAAATCAGCAATTTAAATCAATATCAATTTTTAGACAAATAGTCAATTGTTTATGATGAATTTCATTTGCATGGCAGATTCGAATTTTATTGATATGTACAGCCAATTTTTTTCAACTAATTCCGAAACTTTGCCAATTTCTAATTGCGAGTGGCAGGCATTACGGTGCAAATCGTCTATAAAATTGTTGCCAATTTTTTTGGTATTGATCAGCTAAGGTCAGACCGAATTTCGTCCAATATTCGGCAATTTAAAATTTTGCCAAAATGGACTATTCTGACCAGTGCTTCTAACACTTTTGAAACTAATGCTTGTGATTTCACCAGCATTTTCATTTTTGAAGTTTGTGTTTCTACTACTATAAACACTTTTGCACTAAATACTTTTTCTGCCAATTTCAATGTGGGTGATCTTGCTGTCTACTGATACTTTTTCTGGTACTACTACCGGTGGAGCTTGTATAGATGAATTCAATTTGATACTTTCATTATCAGTGCTTTTATTAGCTATCGGTAACACTTGTGGAGGTGAATTCAATTCATTATTTTTATTAGCTACTGGTGGCACGTTCAGTTTATCACTTTTATTAGCTACAGCAGGTAACACTTGTGAAGGGGAATTCGATTCGACACTTTCATTAGCTACCGGTAGCGATTGCGAAAGTGAATTCAATTTGTCACTTTCATTAATTACTTATGGCACTTGTAGAGGTGAATTCAATTCAGTACTTTTATGATAGCTTAATTCTCCTATTATAGAGTCTGAATTTGCAATATTAGCAGTCTGAGAATTATTATTACCTATAAAATTAAGATGTAAATTATTATAAAGTTTTGTAATCAAGAATAATTCTATAATTGACAAATATGACTTACAGAAATTATTAATTTTTGTCATCCAGTAATTCCAGTTATCAATATAATAAAAATAATCTTTCATCGTATTCCAGCTGTGATAAGCTGGCAATGTCATACTGGCCCATGTTATATTTGAAATAGTAATATTATTTTTTATGTAATTCTGGTTACCAAATTTTTCAATACATCGCAAATTTAAATTTGCCCAAATATTTTCTGCTGTATCAAAAGTTGTGAGATTGTTCATTGCCAAATCACAGTTTATAACGCGAGCAAGTTCCAAGTTATTAGACTCGCAATATAATGATGAGCGAGGAATTGATGTTGAAGATTCAAAGGGAAATGTTTGGGTGTTGAATAATTTAACAATTGTTTTAAGGATTCATCAACATTAGAATCAGTATCAGCTGTACCAGTTATGTCACTTGAACACGTATTTTCTGCCATTACTGGAGTAGAGTACTTTTGCAATTTATTCTATTATTAGAAATTAACAAAGAAAGGTAAAATATAAATTTTATAAATTAAAAATTAATATCATTTTTATACTTTACCTCTAATCTAACATTATGATTCAAAACTAATTCGTATTTACTTTTATATGATTCATATAGAGACTTGTAATGCTAAAGTTCAGCCAGATTATCCTGAAAAAATAAAAATAAAAATAAAAATAAAATTACAGTTGTCCAGGAACAAAAAAAAAAGACGAAAAAAAGGTGGATTGTCCAGAGACAAAAAAAAAAGCGGCAAAAATAAAAAAAAAGTGGACAAAGTTATTCAGACAAAAAAAAAGCGGATAAAGACGAAAAAAAAAAGTGGACAAAGTTGTCCAGACGAAAAAAAAGTGTCTAAAACTGAAAAATGGACAGAAACAAAATAAAGGGGAAGAGGACAAAATTATCATATACCTTATTGATAAATGTAAAATTTAACAATGATTCCTTCAGATCAAAATATATATGACCTTCATTTTTTTTATATGACATTCTTACTCTATTTTGCTCGAAAGTACACGAATCAATTTTTTCATTCGTCTTTGTCCAAACAAGAAAAAGTACTGTTGAAATTAAGCTTTCATCATCGTCAGGTAAATAAACTTTTTTCTGCGAATTTTTGAATTGAGAACTGAATAGGGTGTTTTTAACATTTCTAATATATTTATTCAATATTTTAAAAGCTGATACTTTATTTTTTATTTTTAAAATGAAGAGGGAAGAAAGCAATTTGGATACTAAAAACTGTAAAAACTGATATTTATTTGATTGATCAAATAATAACATTTGATAACGTGATTATTTTGATACATAATTGTATATTGTAATACATTTGATAGAATGAGTTTGATATAATGATATATATAATTGTTAAAATAATGTATTGATTATGGCTGAATAATCTGATATATTATTATTATTTTAATTAGATTTTGGAAATAATATTTCCGTATTCTGGTAAGAAAATTTTTTTTTGCTTTGGTGAGAATATTTTACAAAAAAAAATGATCATGTAAAGATGATCTACAGTCAATCATAATTTTTAACAATTTCGGCTTTTTTGGTATTGATATACTTTGACATCAAAACTTTTTATTTTTGACATGAAGCTTTAGTTATGGCAGCGTGTATATTTCAGATTATTTGCAGATTTGCGAATTATTTGCAGATTATTTGCAGATTTGTGGATTATTTGCAATTGCAGATTTGCGAATAATTATTCTTCAAAATCTGCAATATTCTGCAATATCGCAAATCGTAATTAATCCGCAATTAGGGTATTGTATTGCGAACACATCTTTAATTTATTGCCATATTAACGAAATTTACATTGATTTAGGAACAAACAAAAGAACAACATATTAATAATCCTACTGAATATTATCAAAATAAAATTTATTCTAATCTTCCCATGCAAAGGTTGCAAAGTCCTCTTACATTATCATCTTTTACTCCTCAATCATTTACACTCCCACGTCAAAAGTTTAGGATCACCTTTAAGATCTGCATAATTAATACCTAAACAGTAATAATTACGTACATGTGTAACTTAAAGGAAAACTATTTATGACGTACGTTGATTAGTAATGTTTATTACACAAAATTTTAGCCTCTTTTTTTTTGTTTAAAAAAAAAAATAAACATAATGGTTAAAACAAAAGAACTAACAGATTTCGAATGTGGAAAGGTTATCAATTATTATGAAGCTGGTGACACTGAAAGAGCTATTTCAGAAAAAACAGGCTATGAAAAAACCACTATCCACAATATAATAACAAAATATCATAAAACAGGTGCTATTACTGTTGCTCCTCGAAGTAGTTGTCCAAAGAAGCTGACTGTAAGGGATAAACGTCATTTTAAGGCTATTATTAACAAAAACTGGCGTAAACCTGAAGAAAATTTAAGGGAAATTTTTACTGCATCCACTGGAAATGATGTCGGCAGAAGTACTATGCAACGAACATTATATGGCATGGGTTATAATAGCTGTACAGCACTGAGAAAACTCAGTGTTAGTGAACGTAATCGAAAAATATGATTAAATTGGGCTCATGAAAGACGTTTATGGACTATAGATGATTGGAAGAAAGTAGTGTGAAGTGATGAATCTCAATTCAACATGTTTCAAAATGATGGAAAAATTCGGGTTTGTCATCTTACAAAAGAAAAATATGATATTAATTGCCTCATTCCAATAGTGAAACATGGTGGAGGTGGAGTTATGATGTGGAGGTGTTTTTCATAGTTTGGATTGGATCCCTTGGTGAAGATTGATGGTCGAATTAATAGTCAAAGGTACATAGAAGAGATACTTAGGTATCACGTGATACCATTTTTAGAAAGTTTTGAAGAAGAAAATTGGGACTATCTGTTTCAACAAGACAATACACCAATTCACACTAGTGCAAAGACGTGAAATTTTATAGAAGAAAGTGAAATAAATTTGCTACCATGGCCAGGGTAAAGTCCTGACCTTAACCCTATTGAACATTTGTGGGATGAGCTCGAGAGGCGCATACGAGCAAAGCAAAATAATCCTAAAAATTTAGCAGAATTGGAGGCACTTCTTCAAGAATGTTGGTTAGAAATTCCGAGTGAAGTTTACCAAAAGCTTGTGGAAAGCATGATTCGTAAAATTAATGTAGTCTTAAAAGCTCATGGGTATCCCACAAGATACTGAGGAATGTTTTTATTATATTTTTATATAGTAAGTTTTGTAAATTAATTTTTTTTATTTACATTTTCATTAAAAATTAAGCATTTTTTATTAAAAAACTTTAGCATTATTTTAATTTATAGTTTTGTGAAGTTATGGGTCAGAAATTATTTTTTTTTTATTATATATAACAAAAGGTTTAATAAAAAAATTTTTTTTATAATTTATTCAATACGAATTTTTTTTCTTTTTCGATACATTACGTGATGTAAACATTAGTCACGTGACTGTGCGATAGTGTTTGATACTAAATTACTGATAATTTATTTTCATTATTTTTAAGTAAGGCGATATAAAGTTAAAAATTCGGTTCTCATATCAAAATTTGCCTCAATTTGATGCGGGCGCGCGGATTTTAATTTTATAGAACAAAAAATTTTAAACCAATAAAATTCGAGATTTATTGTAAATTGTATTACGTATTTATTATGTATTGATTTACATATCAAGTTAATTCAAGTTTTTAGTTCGATTTTCATGAACAATTTAATAAATACAATACGAATTAAGCGTGGGAATCATTTTTTAAATATATAAGTCATAAAGATCTTTGGCGAAAAAAAAAATACTCAAACGAATTTATAAAGCAAATATGCATCTTGCATGTATTATGATATTAGAAATTAAACAATCGTTCTGGTTTCCTTTTTTGACTGCGCCCCTTATAGAAAATTGCATAAATGGAAAATTTTAAAAAACGCGTTAAGATATACTTTCTTCAACCTTGTATGAATTCATTTTTTTCTTGAATATGCCATTTGCAAATATTCGCATCTCTAAAGGGTCACGAGTACTCCATGGCTGGTATATCCATCCTCTTCCCTATGAAATGTCATTAAAAGATTTTTTTATGAAGCTTGTTAATAAAGAAATATCTCCTGAATGCAATATTGCTGTGACAAGTTCTGAAGAAATAGAACGTATTGAGTTAAGTGAGGCACTAACTGCTTCTGCAACCCAAGCCAGTCTTAACTGTAATATCATAGAACTTACGAAGGGTGTAGGAATATATATACATTACCGACTCAAAACTGATATTACAACAGCCACTCCAGCATCACCAAACGGCTTTGCGATCTTGATGCAAAATGCACGCAAATCTAAATT